TGCTCCACTGGTACAAGTTGAAGAAGGGTGTATTGAGTAATACGGTAGAAGATCTGTAGGTAAACCGAGACGAAATATATTTTATCCTACAGACTAACTGGAGGTCCGATTGAGACGCACAGCATACCCAGACGACCGTCTCGACGAGAGCTTTCCATCTCCGCCGAGATCGCCGCCATCCGACGTACTACGCGCCGCTGGAAGCTCCCATACTGAAAGTTCGTCTTCATCTGTTTGCACCCGTTTGATATGGTTTTGATCTAATCTTGTTCGTGCAACCCAAGACGTGATTTGCGGTCAATCATTTGCGGTCAACCGTTCGTGGCCAACCAAATCTACATAAATTTTAAGCCATAAGTTCTCTACGTCAAACCTTTAGATCCGCTGCGCATAGGTTTAAGCCGTAAGTTCTCTATTGAATTTGTGACTTGTACATAACCAGATCCTCACAGATCCCAACAGTGGGGACCAGGCAGGGCGATCGGATGATCCCGGGCATGGCAGCACAAGGTGTGGTGAACGAGTGTCGTGAGGTGCACGGCAGAACTCGGCGATCGCAAGGTGCTGCAGGGAAACGCTCGCGAGCTTGCCCACGACAATTTGACGGCTGCCATCAGTGTGTACGTGTAGTCCTCTCTACAAGAATCAGCTGTTCAGCATATTCAGCCTGAATAGTTGTTCTTTCGTCTCGGTTATTGTTGTGAATATAAGTACTTCCTATCGTTCCGAGAAAAAAAAATAAATAAATTTAAAAAAACCGCGAACAAAGTTCGAATACAACGAGCAACACCCGAAAATAAAACTTAGAGGACACGCATAAAGCGGCCTAGAACACAAACCGAAAAAAACCTCAACTAACTTCTTCCACTGCCCCAAGGCCTAGAAGAAATAAGATCCATCAAAACAAGTCACATCCAGAAACTAAAGAAAATAAAAAGTCCTAAGGAGGCTACACAAAGCAAAAACCAAACACCAACTACAAGCCAGATATTTGAACATACTCCAACCAGTCCTCCATAGCTGCTTTGATGGTCAAATGAGCTGGCATGGTTGAAGCTTGAAAGAGCCAAAGGTTACGGGTCTTCCAAAGCCACCAAAGCAAATATGTAGTGAGTTGTATGCGGGCTCTGGCTAGCTGTGAAGAACCAACTGCACAGATATGGTTCCACCAATGCTTGAATGAAGTGATAGACTGAAGGTCAGTCCAAGTTACAGGTGAGAGCTCCCAGATTCTGACTGCTTTTGGACAGTGAAATAAGACATGTTCCACAGTTTCAGGTGCTTCCCCGCAGCTTTGACAGATGATCTCTACTTGCATTCCTCTTCGAGCAAGGTTTGCTTTGACTGGTAGTGCCCCAGATATGCATCTCCACAAGAACAGTTTCACTTTGCTATGAATTTTCAGCTGCCAACATTTAGCAAATGGAGATTTGTGGTGTCTGCCAGAGTTAGAGCTACTTTCAGGGATGTCCATAGCAATTAGCTTCTGCTTGGTGAGGTAAGAGTAGGTGCTGGCTACAGAAAATTTCCCTTTTGTGTCCATTTTCCAATAGTGTCTATCCTGGTGCCCTGGTTTGAGAGTGTTGATCCTCAGAATAGCTGCACTGTCAGCTTCATTGTACAGTTGTTGGACAAGCCAGGTGTTCCAGCCATTCCCTGTATCATTGAGGAGCTCCTTAACCCAAAGGATATGATCTCTGGCTATATCCAACAGCTTTGGTTTTGGACTCAGTAAGGTAGGTACCCAGTTCACATCATCCAACCTTGTGGATTCTCCATTCCTAATTTCAGTAGCAAATCCTTTGGCAAAAGTTGGCAGCACTTCCAGCCAGTTTGACCAGATCCAAGAGCAATTATGAGACTTCACCGCATTAAAAATAGAGCAATGGGGAAAGTACCTGTCTTTTAAAATTCTGCTCACAAGAAGGTGAGGTTGAGTTGTGATCCTCCATAGCTGCTTACAGATGAGAGCAATGTTGAAGTTTTTGATATCAATGAAGCCCAGTCCTCCTTCTTCTTTTGGCAGAGTAAGGAAATTCCATGCCTTCCAGTGGATACCTCTATTCTGGTTTTCTCCTTTGCTCCACCAGAAGTTAGAGCAGAGTGATGATATAGCAGCACAGAGAGTTGAGGGAAGTTTGAAGCAAGACATAGAGTAGACAGGAAGTGACTGAATAACTGCTTTTAAGAGAATCCCTTTACCAGCCTGAGAAAGGAGTTTAGACTTCCAATTTTGCAGCTTTGACTTCACTGAATCCAGAATGAATTGAAAGGCTTCCATTTTAGATTTTCCAATCCCTAGTGGAAGTCCAAGATATCTGGTGGATCTATGTGCAGTGATGCCCTGCAGGGTTAGGCAAATTCTCTGTTGCAGATTGTGAGGTGTGTTCCTACTGAAGAATATTGCTGATTTTTGAAGATTGACCTTCTGCCCAGTAAAGATTCTGTACCTCTCCAGCAAGTTAAGAATGGTGGTGGCTTGATCATTGCTGGCTCTGCAGAAAAGGAGGGAATCATCCGCAAAGAGTAGATGGGAGATGGGAGGGCCATTTCTTGACAGCTTCAGTGCAATTAAGTCTCCAGAAGCCACAGCATTAGACATCAAAGCAGAAAGCATCTCAGCAACAATAATAAACAAGTAAGGTGAAAGAGGGTCTCCTTGCCGGATACCTCTTGAAGGAGTTACAAATCCACCAACAGCACCATTAACTTTGAAGGAGAAAGTACTTGAAGATATACAAATCATGATAAGATGCACAAAATCCTGATGAAATCCCATTTGCAGCATAATTTTCTTGATGCATAGCCACTCTACTCGGTCAAATGCTTTAATAAGATCAAGCTTCAGTGCCATAAAGTAGTTTTTACCAGTTGAGTGTCTGTTCAAAAAGTGAAAAGCCTCTTGCCCAATAATGATATTGTCAAAAATTTGTCTGCCTTTAAGGAAAGCAGATTGGTAAGAGCTAATACAGGATTCCAAGCATGATTGAAGTCTCAAAGCCAAAATTTTAGAAAGGATTTTGTACACCACTGTGCAGAGACTAATTGGTCTGAATTGTGAGAGAGTTTCTGGGTTGGAACATTTGGGAATTAATGTAATGACTGTGTGGTTCCAGTATTTAAGCAATGAACCCTTTTCAGAAAAGAAGCTAGTCACAGCATTTATCAGATCAAATTTAATCACATTCCAGAAGGTTTGATAGAATAAAGCTGTCATACCATCCTCCCCGGGAGATTTGTCTGAACTTAGACTAAAAAGGGCTTCTTTGATTTCCATCTCCTCTACCTGGTTGAGGAGTATCTGGTTCATCTCTGAGGAAATTGAGGGCTGAATCAGGTGCAACATTGAATCCCCTCCCCATGAGCCTTCTGTGGAGAAAAGAGTGGAATAGAAATCTGCTATGTGATCTTGAATCTCCTGAGGAGTAGTGCATTCTCTGTTGGTGGAAGTGAGGAGCCTAGTGATTGCATTTTGTTTCCTTCTACTGAGGGTATATGCATGGAAGAATTTTGTATTCCTGTCTCCCTCTTTGATCCAAACAGATTTGGCCTTTTGCTGCCAGAATAGCTCCTCCTTTCTATGAGCACTTTCCAGCTCTTTCCTAATGGAGTTCCACTCTGCCCAATGGTCTGGTAGTGTGCTTTCTTGCAGAAGTTCAAGCTTTTTGGTGAGGCAGTCAATATGGGATTGATTGTGAGATTTAAATTTAGCACTCCAGAGAAGTAGTGCCAGTCTGGTGTTCTTTATTTTTTCCTTGAGAATGAAGAATGGAGTACCATTGGCAGGGGTTGACCATGCTGTCTCTACCACCTCAGTGCAGCCTTCATGAGTGAGCCACCTTTTGTCAAAGTGGAAGCGGCGTTTTATTCTGTCTTTTTTGTGTCCAGAGCTGAGAAGGAGCATTGCATGATCTGATCCACTTCTAGGCTTGGTTGTAATGTAAGCATTGGGAAATTCTGCTGTCCACTCCAATGTGCCAAAGCCTCTGTCAAGTTTCTCTTCCACCATTCCTTCTGCAAATCTGTTGTTGCACCATGTGTATTTGTAGCCCACCATACTAAGTTCCTCAATCCCCATATGATTAATGAAATCTCTAAATCCTTGCAAACTTTTCTCAGTTCTTGGAGTCCCACCTCTCTTGTCTTCCTTGAAAAGTAACTCGTTCCAGTCTCCAATTATAAACCATTTCTTGCCCCATATGTTTCTATCCATTTGAAGGGTTTTCCACTGGTCAATCCTGATTTGATGACAGGAATTTATGTGCACAAAGACCCCCCAGTATTTGTCAGCTGAGTTTCTGGAGAATTCAACAGCTATGTAGAAATCAGAACTGACCATTTTGTGAATTTGGACCTCCCCCGACCATAACAGAACAAGACCACCACTGCTTCCTTTGGGATCAACAACTGAGCATCTATTATCAAAACCAAGTTTCCTAGCTACTGACTTGACAAAAGCAGATTGTTTTTTAGTTTCTGATAGAAAAACAAAACCTGGGTGATGAGTCCTACATGACTCTCGGATTTGGGAAACCGTAGAGGGCCCACCCAGCCCTCTACAGTTCCACACCAAAGCTAGCATTGGTCACTTGGGTGCCATTCAAGGCTGGCCACCCCCACCTTTGATGGTGAATTTTTCAGTTTCTTGTTCCTTTCCTGAGAAGCAATTTGAGGAGAATCATCTTGATCTGTTTGAAGAATTGCAGAATCTTCTCTTGTTCTTTTGCCTTTGATGTGTGAGAGTTGTTGAGATGATCCTGCTTCCTGCCTTAACAGTCTGCCCTCTTTAGTAGCAGACCTTTTCCATAGTTTTGTTTTGCTGTGGGTTATCTGAGGCACTGATTGATGGTTGCTGGATTGAATGGGGGTTGGTTCATATTCCATGCTATTATGTTTATCTGAGGGTGTGAAGTTAGAAGGGTGTGTGATTATCATCAGAGTTGAAGGTTTGGAAGGTTCAATGGGACACTGCTGGTGAATAATATCTAAGGTCTTTGAAGGGATTAAAGAGGTTTGCTCTGGTTTAGATGGGATAGGATATGGTTCTGTTGGTAACTGTTGTGGGATTGTGGTTAACTGATGAATTTGGTGACTATCTGCCACTTGGCTACTGGAAGTTGGTAGGGGAGTTTCTTGAACAGGAGATGAAGGTTTATCTGATTTCAAGGGACTTCTTGTATCAGAAGAGTTTTGTCCTGCCCAATGGTAACCATCAGCTGCTCTCATCCAGTCTCCAAATTGTCCCTCTAGAACTGATTTATTTCGAATGTCCTCCATTCTCCTGGAGCAACTGCGATCTAAATGGCCTATATAACCACAATAATGGCAGTGATTAACTAATTTCTCATATTTGAATCCAACACTAACAGCTTCACCTCCCAATCTCAGGTTAGCACATCTTGGGAGTGGTTCATTCAAATTAACTGAGGCCAATAGTCTTAGAATTCTTCCTCCATGATTGCCAGCTCCAACCACTACCACATTATTGACCGCTTGAAAAACTGACCCAATTTTCAGACCAACATCAGTACTAAGCCAGTTTAGGGGAACATTGAATACCTGGACCCACAATTTCAGTTCCTGAAATGCTTCGTGTGTACTGGTAAGTCCCTGTTTCCATTCTGTAAGTACAAGGTACTGGTTGTCAAAGACCCAGTTGGCCCCTTTCAGTACTCTTTCCAGGTCTTCACGAGTCTGAAAAATGAATTGGAAATAATTATGTCCAAGTTCCTTAACTTCCATCGTCTGTTGCAACCTCCAGATTTGACTCATAGTACGATTAAGCCCAAACCAGCTTGCTTTTCTATCTCCGATAATTCTACCAAATAGACTGCGATGGCATTCCTCGTCACTGATTTTAATGTCGTCTTGTGCGATATCTATGAAATTGTGTTCTCGTTCAGAGAGTGAGAATCCTTTTAAACGTTGCGCCAGATCTTCATCTTGCCCAATACACTTTGGTGAACCCATGAGCAAGAACCCTAGCTTCCACTTGAGCAAAAAAACTCAGTAGAAACACACTGCGTCGAGATAATCAGCAAGAATGTGATTGAAAAATAACAGATTGAATCTAATAGCAGGTAAATGACGAATCAAGAGAATAGAATCGCTCCCCAATGAGAGAATATTTTACTGTTTCTTGAAACAATTGAATTGCCAAAAATGTCATACGCTATAATTAATTTCTAAGGTTGCTAAAGTAATTTTGTCACAACTGTTAGGGAGTTACAAATATTGATAGTCACAATAATTTTTCAATCAATTTTATTCATTCTACTTTATTTTTATTATTTATTTTGTCTATGATCTTATTAATTTTTTATTATATTTTTACGTTTTCATAAATTAAATTTCTTTTAGTTGATATAAAGACATTAAGATTATCTAAACAAATATATAAATTAAAAATAAAAAATAAAATAATATTTACGGACAATGTAGCTTTTCAATGTAACAGAAAATGTATTTTAAGATTTTTTAAATAAAATATATTTTATTTCATAATGCACTAATGAAAGTATCATCTGTAATTTTTGAATATCATGTTTTTTACTATAGATATTTTTGAATTAAAGAGGAACAATTTAGTCAACATGCATATGCTTAAAAATGATTGAATCAAAAAGAATTTTTCAACATATAAAAATGTCAATTTGTTTTTGGAAAATTTTATTTGTTAAGTGAATATATATAATCTTAACACAAATATTTTGTTTAAATTATTTACTAAAAAAAATATGCATAATACGATACAAGTTTATCCGTTAATAGTATATATAGTATAAATTTTCTTTTACGATAATATGTGTTACATAAATTAATTTACATTTACTTTAATTGTAATATAAATAAAAATAGTGTAAGTATAAAAATAAAATAAAATAAATAAAACACGATTTTAAATCTTGAATTTCAAAATACATGTACTTGTCAAAAAATATATGGCTACAATTAAAATCAATTAAATATTGACAAATTAAAATTTAGAATCGATTCTCAAAAGTAGGACACATAAAGTTTATAAAAATATTGACAATTTTATAAACATAATATTATATAAATGTAAATTATGAAAGAATCATCATTTTATAAATTATATAATATGAAATTATTTATTTTTCACTTTTAGGATAGTCTTTAAAATCTATGAAAGAAATTGATAATGCATCCATGACAATGTTAGGAGATGGAACTGTAACGCCCCACTTTGATTTAAGAAATAATCCATGGCTTATTCAAAAATCATGTTTACATTTTCGAAATTCATTTTTCAAAATTCATATCATTAGGGCATTATCTTGATTTCAATTCATATTTGAAACCTCACGGGAATTCATTACCCGGTTTTTCACATGGACCTCATTGTCCTAAAAACCAACAATTCACATGATATTCAAATAACACATTCATCCTGAATATCCAATCATAGTTCAATAACACGAACCGAAACATAAGTTCAAAACCAACATTTTCAAACGACATGGTCTGAAAGAAATTCACATGTTCAGAACCCAAGCAGTTCAAGTTTATCAAATC